TTAGCTTTTAAGGGTACCGTTGTGAATTGGACATACTTATCTATAAATAAAGAGGTAGAGACGAAAGTACGTCAACAGTCTCATTAAAAAATGTTTATAATTAAATTTTCTTATTATTAATGTCGAACCAAAAACCATCCACTACATTTTGGGATCTTATCGGAAAGCCATTTCAATATTATTTTTGGACATAAACAAAACATGGACTCCCAGGTTATTAAAAGACAATGCTTACTTCACATATTTGGCAAGATCTAATAATATATTTATTTTTCCCCAGAGAAAACCCCCGAATACAAGATGAGATTAAGTTATGAATTAATAATTTATATATACAGGGTTACCAACAAAGGATGAGACTTCAGAGACGATTGTACAGAATATAAACTATCTGGGCTGAAAACTTTAGAATGGTGGATATTGAGATCAATGCTTGATCTCCTCTTTTTCTTAATCTTAAGGTGAAATCATGCTTGTTCTCCTCTTGTTATTAATCCCCAAATTAAGCAACCAATCGGGATTAAGGATATCCCATTCAAAAGTTCCCAGCTCTGATTCCTTTTATTTATTTTTCCCTGGAAGTTTAACCTTTTTTCGTTTTTTGCCTAATCATTAAATAATCTATAAAAAGATAATATATAAAGGAGAAGGCTTGATTTGACTTCGAAATCGTTAAATTTAAATAACTTTAGGTCGTCTTTACAGTCTCATCCTTTGTGGGTAACCCTGTACAAGATGAGATTACTTTATGAATTAATAATCCTTCAGAATGGATCTTTAATACTTAATGAAAAAAAACAGAAAATTATCAGTATATACGCTTAAATGAATATTTAATATAAATATACTAATTATTTTCATTGAAAAGTTTTATTTACTACGGTGATAACCAAAAAATGTGGTACTGTTATGAACATGTTCGGAGATGGGAACTCTTGCATTCTAGATATTGCAATCAATCTGCAATTAATCAGCAGATTAATATAATCCTATAATTCGATATCCCCAGTTTAATTCTACTTCTAATTACTCCTCAAATGAAATGTGACCACAGTGGATATCAAGATCAAGAATTATCCACTAGAAAGGGAGAGTCATTTGAAAAATTCTACAGTTGATTTAATTCTTTAGCAAAATAATTAATTATTGTAATGAATTAATCCGCAAATACAATCAATTGACTAATTACATTGAAGGACTATAGTAATAGGTTCCGCCATAGATCAATTAAAATAACAGATATGTCGACTTTTCAAGATTTAGGAGGTTTTTATTCAAAATAACCCTGAGGCAGACGCCCAAAGGAGTTACGCGCATGCTGCGTTGAAATACAAGACAGAGAGAGAGAGAGCCTGCTCTACAGCGACTGCGTGTAACTCCTTTGGCCTTCTGCCTCAGTGTTATTGTGAACGGAAACCCCTAAATCTTGAAAGGACGACATCTAGTTTCCTATCTGTTATTTTAATTAATCTATTGGTTGCGCCAAGTCCTATTAATTAAATGTTCACTAATGACCTGAAGCTAATAAAGTCTATAACCCAGGATAAATTACACCAATTTTACTTTATTGGAGATTTTCCTCCGCAAACTTAAATAAATGGGATGAGGTTGCGATCTTTCAACTTTTTAATTAAAAAGCCAGATAAAATCTGACATATTTATACTCACCTCTTTTAAAATACACCAGTACTCTAATTTTTGAATTTTAGATCTCATCAAAATTTATCTTATACACTTTATTCAAAAAATCAATTTAACTATCATTGGCATCGCTCTTAAAAGGGAGCGTTTGGTATATATAAAAAGGGGGTCTGGGCGGATTTCGAATGAAATCGGCTTTGATCACTAATAATTTTACTTCTATCTAGTGCGTATAAAAAGGGAGAGAATGGCTAAAAAACGCCTTATAACCTAGAGAGTATAGAACCCATACAATTTCACGGAGTTTCATTATTCCACTAAACCATTTAATTTAATTTAATTTTAAACTACACATGCAGATATTGTATACAAGTATTTAAAAGGCTGAGATAATGTGCCACTGCCCCCCCCCCCTTCTGAGAAAAAGAGCACATGCTCCTATGCCACCCCTTCGCTAAGGACCTGGAACTAAATCTTTAACTGAGATATTTTGTCAATCAATTACAACTTCTTTCTATTATATTAATGATAATAATAATACAATAATGGTATATATTTAAAACTAGTTTAAACGTTAAATAATAACAATATATGTACAAATTATGGTATTGGGATAAAAGCATTGATATACAATTTACAATTACAGACTAGACTATAAAGTCTTCAGACTGTATCAACTAGCCCGAGAATTTGTTTTTAATATCTTTTTTAGTAAAATTGACTTGAAAAAAGTTTGATTATTAAAAAATATAATTGTATAACTTGTAGTATAACTCTCCTATTTCAAATATTCATGGGAAAATGACGAAGTTTGTATAACTTATAATCGTCCTTTATTTTAGTTTATTTCGTGTTGTTTCATGATTAGAAGTTTATTTTTGTCTGATTTTCCTTCCGAAGATTTGATTTAAAATACAAGATACAAAGTTTGGACAGTAGGAGCTAGTGTAAGCAATTTGTCCTCATTTTCCTCTTTAGTTTTCTTCTATTCAGTTCTTTAACCCTATCACAAGTTGGAGGGGTTCTTGTGTTCTTGTCAAACAAGAAAATATTTTTTACATTTTTCCGAGAGACTTTTTGAATTTTTAAAAATTCCATATAACCCTTACCTTTAAATATAAGGGTTTTATAATTAATCTTATTAATTGATCGATTAACCCGATCTCAATTCTCAAGCTTTTAAAAGAGGTTGAATTTTTTGTGTTTCATGCAAATCTCAAATCAAGCATTGATCTCCATCTTATGCAGGTCTATAGGGATCAATTAAATTCCTCTTAAATATCCCGGGATGGAAACACTTGGATTAAGGAATCAAAATATTTCCTCAAGTCTAAAAGTGTCCAAATTGAACATCAAGATTAAATATTCTCCTCACATAGGTGCTTTTATAGTTATGAAATAGTTCATTTTCATTTTTATTCAACTTTTTATTCAAGTTTACAATTTAAAAAGTTTATGGATGAAGCTGTATCTAATTCTGGTAACATTTTTGGCTCATTCTTTGGTTCAGGCGTAGCTAAACATTTCCTTGTTGAAACTATAGGTATTTCTAATATACTAGCTAAACTGCACGGCGTTGCCCATGGAATTTAAAAGAATAGAATTTTAACAAATTTTTGTTTTGTTTTTGCATAATTACCACCAAAGTAATGCATGGGTTTCCTGAAAAATTTCAGACAGGTTTTTCCAGCCGTTTGGCCAGCTATAGATAACAAATATACATATATATACTTTGTTCGTCTGTTGTGGGACCTCGCGTGACCCCAGGGAAGGTTTCTTAGTGATTAAAAATGCCGTTTCATTAACGGTTAGTTCCAACCGTTAAAAAACAAATATTTCAGTTAGCCGTTAATTCTAAAGGTAAGAATGGAACGTTCGTTCCTTTATCAGCATTTTTCGTTTTTTTCAATTTACCGTTAGTAAATTTCGCCTTGTAGTAAAATATTAAATATTTCGTCTTTATTTTTTTTCCAATGAACAATTAATGCGCAAGTTGAAGATAAAAAATTAGCAACTTTTCAAAAAAATTGATGAGATCGCTTATAACCGAATTCTCAATATCTGGCGGAGCAATGTCTCTCACATTATTTTGGGTTAGGGTAGAGGTTAAGACAATTTCTGGGCCGAGCGCTGTGGCCTCTTAAACCTTGAATGCTGATTTTAGCTGACTATTTCACGCTTCTTATTTAGCATTTTTCTTTAAATTTTGTAACTGTAATTATAGCCTGTTTTAGCAACAGCACTTTCACCAGAAGATGTCTTAACCTAACCTAACCTAAATAATGTAAGAGACAGCTCATTATTCAACATGCATTTAAGAGACAGCAGCAATCGGCCCCTTAGCCCATCCTAGCCACAGCACTCGGCCCAGAAATTGTCTTAACCTCTACCCTAACCCAAAATAATGTGAGAGACATTGCTCCGCCAGATATTGAGAATTCGGTTATAAGCGATCTCATCNCCACCAGATAGGATTAATAGAATATTTGTCAATCCAATAGAATCGTTGACAATCCAATAGAATATTTGAAAATCGTAGTAGAATATTTCACAATCTAATATAATATTTCACAATCTAATAAAATATTTCACAATCTAATAGAAAATTTCACAATGTAATAGAATATTTCACAATCAAATAGAATATTTCAAATCTAATTACAATCATATAGCCTATTTGACAATCAAACAGAATACTTCACAATCTAATGGAATATTTTGCAATCTTATAGTATGTTTGACAATCTAACAGAATACTTCACAATCTAATGGAATATTTTACAATCTTATAGCATGTTTGACAATCTGACAGAATACTTCACAATCTAATGGAATATTTTACAATCTTATAGAATGTTTGACAATCTAACAGAATACTTCACAATCTAATGGAATATTTTACAATCTTATAGCATGTTTGACAATCTGACAGAATACTTCACAATCTAATGGAATATTTTACAATCTTATAGAATGTTTGACAATCTAACAGAATACTTCTCAATCTAATGGAATATTTTACAATCTTATAGCATGTTTGACAATCTAACAGAATACTTCTCAGTTTAATGGAATATTTTACAATCTTATAGGATGTTTGACAATCTAACAGAATACTTCTCAATCTAATGGAATATTTCACAATCTAATAGAATATTTCACAATCAAATAGAATATTTCAAATCTAATTAGAATCTATAGCATATTTGACAATCTAATAAAATATTTGAATTTAATAGAATATTTGACAATCTAATAGAATATTTAACAATCTAATAGAATATTTGAAAATCTTATCACTTGAGCCCAAACTCACTTCTTTTGAGTTTGTAAAATAAGAGTTTAAAAGTTTGAAATGCGCGAAATTATTTCACCGAAATCCTCGATTAAATTGCTAAAATTAAGATTTATACACAATGAATTTCAAACCCTTCTTCTGTCTTCTGTTTTTCCTTATAAAGCCTTGCACTGCGCAGTTTAAAATGGAGGTAAAAACACTTTTGTCATCGAATCTATTAACAATTTCAATTAGAAATAACAACAATTAATGTAAATGTAAAATATGTTAAATTGTTAGACATGCTCTGGAGGAATTTGTTTAAGAAACAAAACATACAGATCTACAGAGGGCCCTCTTTATGTTAAAGTTGGTAAAAGTATTAATTAGTATTAATCATTAAGAATTTTTATACTAATCATAAATATCTTTTATAATTCCTATTTTGTTTAGTATTATATCTAATTCAATTGCACGAAATCAATATTCTACGCAGAGCTGTAAATGTGGAAGTGTTTACAAGATTTTCTTGGTTTGAGGAAAGGTAAGCCCGGGAGGTACAGGGTTTACTACAAAACTTGACTGAAGAAAGACGTCTTAAAGGTCGTCTTTCATCTTTAAAATTATTTGTGGCATTTGTCGATAAACCTACGTTTATATGTTTGATTCATAAAACAACATTCACAAAATACTCCTAATCCTGCCTTTTTTGTGCTGTCAATATTTCCGATCAAAAATATCCAAAAATCTACTATGTCGAAGATCAGTTTAATAGACTCTCTAGTCACTGAGTTGTTCAAAAAAGTTTCCTTGTTTTCATATATATGTCTGCTCAAAAAACACAGTGCTATAAATTTGATAAATTTAACGTTTTATTGTGTAATATAAAAGAATTAAGTTTATTTTAAAAATGGTTTATTTAAAAAGGAATAAACACATTGCCCTTAATTTTAGGGAGGCCAAGTTTATTTACTTTGAAAAAATGTTTGCTTTAAAATGACTTCCATACAATATGTTATTATTATCTTTGGTATCAAACAACTTAACAAATTATGGAAGAAGACATTTGTAACTATTCGCCAACTGTCATGTTTCGTTGTACACCCTGTACACGAATCATGACAGTAGCAAAGACTTAAAGGTCGTTTTTGAAATTTAAAAAATTTGCAGCATTTGCTCGTAAACTTAATTTTAGACAAATTGTTCATAGAGTTAATGATCACACAATATTCAATAACCATTGTTTCAGATTTCTTTCAGATTTGGTTTTATTTGATAAGTGAAAAAAGTTTTATTTTGTAGAATTACAGCAAATGAAACGAATCTACAGGTGGACTCAGATTTGAAGAAACATCTCTTAATTCCTGAAACTAGAATTGTTAATGTTAGAAGTTTAAATAAACTTGACATGGTTCAGGGAACCAAACACGACATTTACGTTAGCAAGATAATTAACGGCAAGGTAAGTTTAATTCTAATATACAGTGAGAACCATAAAACTGTGGAATAGGAAGACGACCTTAAAGTAATAATTAAGCTTTTATGATACTGTTAGAAAGCAATTATTTTTACTAATAGCTTTGTTAATCTGTTATTAAGTGAACTGGGTCTGCTTACACAGCACAATTGCTGTGTTTCGTGTTCGTTGGACTAGTTACAGCCGTAACTTGAGTCTTATAACTCGTATTCCTATTCCAGAGTTTTCTGGTATTCACTGTAGTACTAATCAACATATTACTATTGTATTTCTAACCTGTAACTGCAGGGGTTAATCGTTTTTAAAAACGATCGAAAGAACGATCGTTTAACGTTTCGTTTTTAAATTTGTTTTTAAAAACGATCATATTACTTTTGAAAAAACGGTGGGCCACAACGAAGAAACTACTCGTTTTCAACTTTTAAAAACGTATCATAAAAATGTCCCTTATAAATTTGAGTTTTATGACAATTAATTTAAACTTTTTTTAACGATCGTCAAAAATTAAAAACGACTTTTACCTGCGTTAAAAAAACGACGAACTTAATTAAAAAACTACTTCTTCGTTTTTTAATTTAAAAAACAATATTTTTGAAAAACGACCATTTCGTCGTTAACAAAACGAAACGATCGGTTTTCAAAAAAATGAAAACGATCCATCCTTACCTGTAACTCATTTAGGGAGCTGTTCTAACCTTCAGCTACAAATCTGAAGTTGAGTTTGGTTGTGATATGGATTTTAATATGTATCCATTCAACAATATTAATTGTAATTATAAAATTACAAGCTCTACACGGGACTCTAGGCTAGCCTTAGTTTTCAATTTTCTGATATATATATCTTTATATTTTGTTTGTCTCATGCTTTTTGGTTGGTTTTGTGGAACCTCATATGAACCCAGAACATGAACGGTAAGAAGTTAAAAAATTTGCCTCCAAAAAACGTTGAAACATAACTTAGAAATTACATAAAATCATTTAAGTGAACCATGCCGGGGCCATGCTTTATATTAACTCATGTTTTTTCAGTGTTTTGATTCTAGTATGGGTATTCTTTTTAGAATCTGCGTATTTCAACAGTCCTTGACCTCTAAATAACAATGACCTAAATGATATTATCGATATTGATTCACAAACGTTTTGTTACGTATATATCCATTTTAAGTGATTCTTATTTTTGACCTCCGGAGGTCATTAATATTTGGAGGTCAGAAGAAGTATACTTTAGATGGAATCCAATAAAACACCAAAAACTTATGATTTGATTGTTAACATAACAAATTACAATTATTCTTCTTCTCATATGTGTGATGACGACAAAATATTAATTATGAGGAAAAAATGGTGTTGTCCTATTTTCTGGCTTTATGCAGTTAAACATTTTCTCTCTCATCTTTATAGATGACTATACAATATGAGCCTGCTTTCAACATTTCAGCATCTTATCTCAAACACAGCCTGCAGATGCAGACCAAAATCGCATTTTTAAAAACCACAAGATCGATTATGAGAATTATTCTTTTAAATATTTTTATTTTATAAAAACATAATTGCAGCGCAAACAAAAACAATTGTTAAAGGGAGAGTGAAGTAAAATGTGAGAGTTTTTCTTTTAAATACTGTAATACACCTTTACATAGATTAATTAAAATTTCAGATAGGAAACTAGATGTCGCCTTTCAAAGATTCGTTTACAATAACCCTGAGGCAGAACCCAAAGAAGTTACGCGTAGTCGGCGTAAAACAGGTTCTCTCTGTGTCTTGTAATTCTACAGAGGCAGAGTCACACCTGCATGGCGAGTCCATTAGTGCCTGATCCAATCAGGGTTTAGTCATGTGTTTGTTGCCTATTCTGAACCAATAGAAATAGTATGGCGGTAACATATATCTTTCGGTCTATCTCATTATCCAATTAGAGTTATAAATCCTTCAATCGGCGCTATCAATAAATGGAAATATTTACTTCTACTGAAACTATAGTTGAGCCTGTTCTACGCCAACTATGCGTAACTTCTTTGGATTCTGCCTAAGGGTTATTGTGAACGAAATACACATAAATTTGTTTAAGACGACATCTAGTGTTCTATTTGTTATTTTAATTAATCTATAATACACCTAGTTACCATTGGAAAAATTTAAAATCTACAAGTTACTTTCCTAATACCGCAGCAAGCACATGCATTTAAGTATTTCAGATTTGTAACATTCTAGGAAGAAAAAACGATGAAATCTTTCTTTTTGTGAAAACTATTGAGACTCAAGGCTTGTCTAGTGAACTAGTATTCCAGAGTGAAGATATTCGTGTAACAGACCAGTTTGTTTTCCAGGTATTCTACAGAACAAATTTTATCAATTTTATATTTTAAAAAAAATATCAATTTCATCCGTTTTCACGGGAAAAGTTTAAAATGCGTCAAAAGAATCATAAGTCTTTGCCCTAAACTCAAATTTATTAATCTCTATATATCTTTGTAATCTGATGGTGTAAACCTTTCATATTTCAAATTTAGATTATTTGATCTTACAGAATTCAAAATTCGAAATTTCCAAGGTATAGTACATTGTGCTGCAAAAAGAATAAATGATGAAATCTGAATTTGTGACAAAGACTCAATTCCTTTCAAGCGTTGTGTTCTATATTTTATATTTTAGTTTGATAGTGATTACGACATGACATTCTACCCAACACTAAAAGATAACCTGGTTCCTTCGCTATTATTAAAGTATGGCTTAATTAAATACATTAGTAGGCAGTTATATCAATACAATGAAGACGACTTTTTATTCAAGTTATATTGTTAAACAAGCTTTTTACGAGTTTCTAGTTTACATGTAATCAAAGTACCGCTTTTTTAATTGACAGCTTCTCTTGACTTGTATGTTTATGTGTATCCATGCTGTTTAACAGCTTTATATAAATCAACATTTAAAGTCGTCTTCATACGAAGACTGTATGAAATGTTTTTTAGTTGTTTAAACACTTAACATTAACAATAATTAACATGTTTTATTTAGAGATAGAACATATTCCCTGGTTGGTTTCAGAATTGGACTTAAATATCGTCCTCTAGAGGCTCTTCTAGTTCATTATCTTCCAGCTTTTCTCTTGGTAATTTTTTAAAATAAACTTTTATCCGTCCATGAGTATGTTCTAGAGCCTCTAGGACACAAAGTAAAAGAAAGAAATTAATGTCAAAGTTGAGGTCAGTGACCTCTTGATCCGGTATTTTCTTCATGATATGTGTAAATGTACTGTTAATGACCACTATTGAAGACTACCATGCTAAATGTATGCCTTCCATCTTAATTTTTAAGATCAAGGGCAGCCTGTATAAAATATAGTTTTACAAAGTGTCAAATGGCCTTTTAGGTTGATCGTATGCTCACTTTTTGTAGGTCAGTTCCTCAAAGTTTGTAGGTCGCATGCACAATAAGTCAGATTCACACTTTTTGACCTTCAGATACACACTTTTTGTAGGTCGGATGGACACTTATTGTTAATGTTTGATGAACAAGTTTTCTGTATGGTCTGACTCGTCCAATATTATTGAAATTAGTAATTTTTGTGATTTTTCAATTAAAAAGTTTTTGAGACAAACATGGTCAGTGCAACAGTAGAAGATACATAACTATTAACTGTATTGCAATTATTCAGAGCAGTTTTAGTTTTTAGGGTTTATTAATGCTAATATCCAATTTTCAAGTTGAATTTTTCTTTAGTTGTATGACTATATAATAATGCTCTTCGCTCATGTATATATATATATATACATATATATATATATATATTTATTTATTTTAGCTGTAGATGTCCGAACAGCTGGACCAAATGGGCTGATTTTTTTAAGGGAACCCATTTGTACCCTGGGGAAACAGAAGCTAAAACATTTTCATATTTTTCTTCAAAATTCTATTTTTTTAATTCCACGGGCAACGCCGGGCACTTTAGCTAGTATTATATATAGGAGAAACATAAAGAGTTATTTCTGCGTGATAGATGATTCAGGAAAATAATTTAGGTTTCTGTAAGCTACTTATCTTATGTGATACCTATGTCAGGATCATCTTATAAGATTGTTCTTGTAATGTTGGTAAGTATGCATCTTAAACTGTACTGTTATTTTCAAGGTAATAATTGGTTTGTTATTTTCAAGGTAATAATTGGTTTGTTTTTTTCAAGGTCATAATTGGTTTGTTAAACCAGTTCAACAGTTTGAATAGAGTTGCCCCTAAAGGAGGGAAAGGACCAACTGCTGCAGGTGAGGATATTTTTTGTGAGTAGGAGAAGGTAGAGATGGCCGCATCGTTTAAGCAAACAAACAAAATTTGTCTACAACAATGGGGTCTTTCAGAACAATTTACGAACGATGAAGGAATGAATTGGATCGTTCAATGAGATTTAAAACCACGAATTTTTAAACAAACGAAAAAAATAAACGATTTAAAATCATTATTGATCGTTTCCATTTTATGATCAGTCAGACCGTTAATGAACAATTTCTAAATCGTTCGTTCGAACGAACAAATTATTTAGATAAACTTTTGAAAAAACTATCGTATTTTTAATAAACAAAAAGTTTTTTGAACGAACTTGAAAAAAACTTTTTTATACTTAACAATCGAATTTCTGAAAAAAAACTATAGTTTTTTACTTAAAAAACGATTTTATTGAAAGAACAATCTTACTGAACGAACGATTAAATTGAACGAAAGTTTTCATATAATAAATGGAAAGAAAATGGACGATTATTCTGAAAACGAAAAAATAAATTGTTTTTTTTGAATAACTGAAAAAAACCGAACGAACGAGCTTTTTTCTTGAGAATAGATCATCATCATAATTACATGCAAGATTTGTAATTGATAAGTTTGATTTCATTAAATTAATCCCTTGTAGTAACAATATTCAGAAAATGGAAAAAAATAAAAATTGATTTAAAAATATATTGAGAAAGTATATAATTTTGACTTTTAACAGGATAAGCACAAAGATACAAGCCATTATTATATTGACATTTTTAAATGCTAATCAATACTTTCAGCTGTTTACCTGATGGCCTGTGTATTAAACTCCAGTTTGTGTATGGGTCTTAATGTTTTAGTTTTCAGGTCACAGCATTTTAATCCGGCATTAACGGGGTGTACAGGGGGAGGGGAGGGGGGGGGTAGAGTGATAGCAGCCCCCTAAAGCCAAATATCCGGTGCAATGGGGGCGAAAAGTTTGAAAGCAAAGGGGGCAAAGCATTAAGATAAAGGTTTTTATTCTTATATTTTTTTACGAACTGCAATAAATGTGCATAACACATGGCTAATTGTTATCAAAATTAAATTCAAGTTGAATATTGTACATGTTTTGAAAAACTGAAACTAAGCAATATACTTCTAATAGAAAAGAAAACACTGACCTCATCATGAGAAACAAGAGTTAAACATATTTCAGTGTGATGAAATATATCCGTTTAATATCATATCTGCTTAATATTATTCATAATTTAATATGTTTATATTCTAGGTATAAAGTTGATGCTATCCTCTCTAAAAGAGTAAACTTCTATTGTGGACTACTCAATTTATTCCTATTTCTGCTTTTTAATATTCTATACTGGCCTGCTGTTATAACCAAGATCAGACAATAATTAAGAAAAATATATATAAGCATTTTCCACTTTTCTGTTGTAAAAAACACAAAAATAAATTCATATTTGAATTTTTTTTAATCTCTGTAAAAGAGAAAGAGCATATTATCTAAAATTAGGCCTTGTTTTAAAGGTTAAAACTACATTTTAGAACAATATGTTTTATTGATTCATAGCTTCATACCACCAAGGAGAACATTTGTTAGTACATAAAAACGGTTCTTAGTAGAACAAAAAGCTTAAACACACTTTTTTAGAGACACCCTGTTTTAAAGTTTTATAAAAAGTAAGATTTATATATCTAGAAAATGAATTTATTATATAAAACTGAAACGAATGAAGCGCCCAATCAATTTCCGTTCATTTCCTGATACTCTTATCTTATCTTTTCTCTTTTATTGAAATCAGAGATTGAAAAGAATATATCAGAATCCAGATTTACGCCCACAATTAAGGGGTGTATAAAAGGGAGGGGGGAAAGGGGGTTAATGTCCAAAACCAAGTCTTCTGTGGGGCGTACCATCCCCGCCCCCCCCCCCCACCCCAAGAAAATCCTCATTTTGAAACTGAGGAACAACTTAAAAGGATTTGAGTCTTTGCCACAAACTCAAATTTTCTAATTCCTATATCCTTGCAACCCAATGCCGGAGACCTTAGATATTTCAAACTATGAATTCTGGTAGATCAAATAATCTAAGTTTGAAATATCAAAGGTTTGCACCATCAAGTTGCTAAGATATAAGGATTAGAAAATTTGAGTTTGTGACAAAGACTCAAGTCCTTTAATCAAACATATCTAACAGATTTCTAGAATGAAAAAAAACATTTCTAGGAGGGGGCCGGTAAAAAAAGCCACAATATAGGAGGGCGTATGTACGGTATAACAATTCAATATATATTTCGTAGATTTTTTGGTTTTCATTTATAAATCTTAAATATTTCAATTCTGACTGTTTATAAACCTTCCTTGAGGTTTCAAAGAAATTGAGCTTTTCATTGAATAATTACAAAAGTTGACATAAAGTAACATTGAACAAATTAAGTTTCAATTTTAAATTAACAAAAGTTCTACTCGATCATTTGTGAAGTGGAAATTATTGAACAAAATTCTTTTCCCCCTAAATGTGAAAATTCTTTAAAATACATGAATAAAAACCTTTTTATCCGACTCCCCTAAAGAATCTTCCTTTCAATCTATACTGCAGTTTGATTTACTGAAAATATTAGATTGAAAATGGAGAAACAGCTGATTCAGGTTTATCAGGTTGGATTTTATTTCAATTTTTTTTCAACAAGAACCAAATATATTTCACAAGATGGTATCTTAGAAACTTTGCAATTATACTTTTAGGAAAGATGTATACAGCTTGCACTCAGACACTTCTAATCCATCTCATATTTTCATATATGCTGCCGAAGAGTTTTTTAACATTGAATAATTTATAAAATAAAACAAGACATTCGTATATATTTATGTTGCGATTAGCCGGCCAAACGGATGGACCGATTGGGCTGAAACTTTTGTGGACACTGGACACTCATGGGTGGTCAGGGGGTGTTATAGGCTGAAAAATAAAAAAAAAATTTCAACATTTTTAAAAAAATTTTTGATAACACTTTAAAATTTTTTTTCCACGGGCAACGGCGGGCTCTTCAGCTAGTATCAGATATATTAAGAAGCAGTATTAAACAAATTATACAGTCCTAAAATCTGAACTATAGTTTCTGAAGTAATTTAGCCTCAGAATAACATAGTTTAGAGGAAAAAACACTTTTAAAAAATCTCGATAATTTTTTTAAATTTCGAACATATTCTATTTGTAAATATCGAACCTTTTCTTTTTTAATTTAAAAATTGTTTCGTTACAGTTCTATGTTATGAACTTTTAACAGTGAAAATATAAAAAAAAAAACTTTTAATGTCAAGTATATATATTTAAAGGATTAATTAAACAAACCTCTTGTACAAACAAAAATCAATAAAAAAGTTTTTAAAAAAAAGTTTAAATTAACTTTAAGGTTAATTTTAAGATATATTATAAATCTAGTTTCCTTTATACTTTACCTCCTTAGCGTTATTTAGCTGCAAAAACAATGCAAACTTTTATTTGTTCTTGCTGCAAACCTTGCATTTAAATTTCTTCCGAAAAAATATTTACTTTTGTAGAGAAAACAAGAAATCTAGTTTAAAATACGTGATGAACATTATAAGAATAACAGCAAAAAAAAAACAGAAACCAAATAAAAACAAAAAAACACTAAACAAAGTAAAAATAAACAGGATTTAAAAATGAAATATAAAAACCAATGAATTTTTACAAACTTTTTGGGAGTATTATAAAATCATGAAATATGAATATATTTTGAAACCCAAATTCTTATCACGTGTGGATGATTTATTTTCTGTACTCTGCCGTTTTGCCGAGCACTCTAGTATGCCGATTCCATTAGCGCCTGATCCAATCAGGGTTCAGCCATGTGTTTGGTGTCTATTCTGAACCAATAGAAATTGCATGGCGGTAACATCTATATCATCCAATTAGAGATAAATTCTTATATCGGCGCGATAAAAGTAAATGGAAATATTTACTTCTACTGAAACTATAGTGCGAGTATAATGTATATTATGATGTAAGGTACTTTTCCAAAGGCTTTCCCCAAGTGGCAACTTCCCAAGGGTATTTTCTCAAGTGGAACTTCCTAATTGTCTGTCCTAGCCAAAACACTCGGCCCCCTAACCCATACTAGCCGCAGCGCTCGTTCCTCATTGCAGCCTGTGGCGTTTCAGAAGGCCTAACATAACCCGTTGGGAAGTTGCTGCGTGGGATATTGCATATTTGGAAAGTTGCCATTTGTAAAATTGTCGGTAGGGAAGTCACCCTTGGGAATATGTATTTGGGAAACAACCAAACACCGTTGTTGATCAGAGGCCGAATTTAAAGAATTCGAGCCGTGGCTTAAATTTAAGCTGCGGTTTAGTTATGGTTGGTTTCACTTAAAATTGTATCAAATGTTTCAAGCTTTAAGCTGGCGCTTAGTTTTAAGTGGGCTTTGGCGGATTTAAGCCGGGACTCAAATTCTTTAAATTCGGCCTCAGGCTGCCTAAAACTTCAACTGAATTGAAGTTTTCAGTGAACTTAACAACTAATGATCGTTTGTCATCACAAAAAATGTTTTAATATTCTATATTTTCTTTTTGATTATCATATACAGTCCCTTTCATTCTGTGTGTCTAAGTAAGATGCTAAGGAACGGTTGGATAGAGTTTCTCTTTAGCTTTAACTTTAGATCATAGACTAAGAGATAACAGAACAGTATATACCGTCTTTTCAAAATTTAGGGTTTTTTCGTTCACAATAACCCCGAGTCGGAATTCCAAAGGAGTTACGCGCATGCCGCGTTGAATGATAAGACAGAGAGAGCATGCGCATAGTTATTTTGAATTAGAAACCCATGAATCTTTAAAAGACGACATCCAGTGTTCTATCTGCATTGTTATTAATCTATGCTTTAGAAGTTGTTCAAACTTAGAAATAGTTTTTAATTGAGAACAAATACAACTTAATAACTTTCTTTTTCTAACAAACAACTTCGCAAGAAGAAAATTGTCTTTTACATCAAATAGCTTATTTCTCAATTTATTCGATAGAAGTAGTCTCTTTTAGCAATTAGAAAAAAAACAAGTTGTTATAAGTTAACCCAATCATAGTTAATTGGAGGGGGGAGGGGGGGATTTCATCATAAGTCATAAGTTTTTCTCCATAACAGTATAGCACTATAACGGTCAAACTTCTTCACTTTCCAACCTTATAATTGTAATTTGTAATGAATCTTTGTTAACATATTAAAATTGCAACCTCTTAAAGGGAGTGACTGGCTAGGTATCTGAGAGAGGAGTATTATAATACATGATAAAAATAAGGCTCCAACATTTTAAAACGTATTCTTTAGAAGGTTGCTTTTATTAAAATATGAAAAATTGCTATCCTCAGAAGAACTAACCAAAAAAAGAGAAAGAGAGAGAGAGAGAGAGAGAGAGAGAGAGAGAGAGAGAGAGAGAGAGAGAGAGAGAGAGAGAGAGAGAGAGAGAGAGAGAGAGAGAGAGAGNGAGAGAGAGAGAGAGAGAGAGAGAGAGAGAGAGAGAGATTTGATTTAAAGCATATTTTGAAATATTCTAATATCCTAGAAAATGTCCCTGCTGTAAAATGTAAATTTTTTTCCTTATTTTCCGACAATATTTCAAAAGAAAAGTTTCATCTAATCTTAACTTTAATAATTAGTCATTCAATTTCTTAAAGAAATTTAGTTTAATTTAGAAAAATTTAAACAGCTTTTTAGGAAACGATCTATTTACTTTGATGATGCTTAAAAAAATTAAAGCCCTGTTGATCATAAATTAATTGGCGTTAAATTCAGTCCAATTTCTTTTTCAAAATTTCTTTTTATAATTTTTAAGAAAATGTATGGTACGAGGCAAAGTTTCTATTTTTCATCATTCTCCACCTGCACGTCTACAGCTGTTCTTAATTAACCGTCTACTTTTTGTCCGTCCATTTTTGGCACTGTTTTGATTTTATTGAGTCAAAAATTTTTAAAAAGTGGGATCCCCTTTTCATTGATATATGCCCCCCACTGCAAACCTCATTGAAAAATCGAATAGTATTTTGCAAATTAATCCTTTGAATATTCAAATTTATTTTGAAATTTCACGTGCAACGCCAAGCACTTAAAATAAAATCATGACTTAATCGGGTAAACTGTGACTATAATTAATTATATAAATAACCTGGGCAATGCTGAGCACTCTAGCTAGTATATATATATATATGTTGGTACGGACAGTTAACAGCAGGCGAAAAGAAAGAAAAAATTTAAACACGATGACAAGAAGAAGAAAGAAATCTGTATCAACTGTATTCAATGTATAAAGTTCAAAATGAAAAAATATAAAATGTAAAAAATATATATATATTGGTACTCTTTGTACAATCCTATCTTATCTAAGTCCACGGGGAAACGAATTCTAACCTTGGGACCTAATCTTTTCCAGGGTTTCTTATTTCAACATTTC